GACAGGAACCTGGAGGGATGTTGGAAGGACCAGAAAACGGCTTCAGTGTGAGTCCGGAGAGTCAGAAACGGCAGCTGGCGTGCGCCAAGTCCTGTCTCCACGCCAGCACTTGTACACGTTGCTGCAGAGACAGCTGCCGCTTGCAAATACCTGTGTGCCCCCCCTGCCTTCCCGGCTCTCTCTTGCACTTTGCGGAGCCATGTGGCTGCTCTGCCATGTGTCACTTCAAAGACAAAGCATGACAAGTGAGGTGTCCCCTCCCCTCCCAGTTCCCTCTCACACTGCTGGGCAGTTTATATTCCAGGAGAGCCAGCACCAACATGCCAAAAGGTGCTGCGCCTGGGCAGGCCGTGGGCCCAGAGCGGTGCACTGGCACAAGGGCCAGGCCTTCCACGACAGATGGATGGGGTGGTGGGGACCGTTGCCTGTGTTGCTAGGGTGGCTGGGTGGGCAGGCAGCCGCTTTGAAGATGGTCAGTGTGGACACACCTCCACCCACGAGGCACAGCCGTCCGGCAGAGCCCAACCCTTCGCCAGGACTCTGAAAGGTGTCAGGAGGTGGACAGGAGCCCATGGGGCTGTGGCCTGGAGCTGTCCATGCTGGCTCAGGGACGGGGAACAACGGACCTGGACACCACTCACGACAGTGGCTAAGCCAGACACTCTGGAATGTAAACTGACTGCTCTCTTTCACTCCTGCTTGCCAGGGCACCCTTGGGATTCTCATGAGGTCACCTCTAACCTGGGCCCATGGCGAGGGGAATTCTGAGAAGGGTTGCCACTCTGCCGAGTCACCCCTGCATGAAGCTACCAGCTGGTCTCTGGGAAGAAGTGGCACCTGAGTTATGACCGAGAAAGACAGAGCGTGTGGGCAGAGGGCTCGTGGGGGTCAGGACAGCTGGGCGGCCCTCGGAGCAGGAGCGGGCTCAGAAACCAACCCCAGAGCACATGCGGGGGAGCACAAGGTAAGGGCACACTGGGGATGGAGGCACCCCAAATTTCCATCTCTTGGAAACTCTGCTCAACATAGATCCTAATTCCAGGAACAAGCCATGGGACTGGCGTAGCCTGGGCCACCTATGGTGACAAATGGGGGTACTGTCCCCAGTTCCTTACTTCCTCTTTGTACAGGACCACACCCATCCCCTGCTATGTGACTCTGCAGTGCCATCCCCCCGTGGCAGGGCCAGGCATCAACTTCCCATCCCACAATACCAGTCTCGGCCACATGACTTGCTTTGGGCGGGCTGTGAGCAGACACAGGCGCAAGGCTTGGGCAGAGGCTGTCCGGGTGGCTGTGAGGTTGGCTTGGCCCTGAGCTTTGTGCAGCTTTGCCTCAGGTAGCTCATCGCTTACAGCCTGGGTCCCAGAGACAGAACCCTTGGAACAGGGTTCTTGGAACAGGAACTTGAACCTGACCCCCAGTCTGAAGCAGAGCCCCCCAGTCAACCTGCAGCCCATGAGCAACAAAAACATCTTATGTGTTGTAAATCACAGGGCTTCTGGGGGCTGTTTGTTACGCAGCAACCGTGGTGGAGCCCATGTACCTGCCCAGTCCTTGGCTAGGGGAGGGAGCTGCCCCCCAGACCACATCCATGGAAGCATCCAAGGTACATCGATTGCTGTGACCTGGACACCGGGAGGGTGGAAAATGACAAATGTCTCTTGTGGCTGGAGCAGTCAGCTGGTTCACAGATGTGGCACCAGGGGCCTGTCTGCCAGATTACAAGCAAGAAGTATGTCTGAACCCCGAAGGAGCAGCTGGCTCTGCTGATTTACAGGGCTGAATCAGATCTGTGAGAGCAAATTGAATTTTGAATACAATTTCATGTCAATTAACTTCGCTCAGAGCCTTGCAGAGGAGAAGGGACCCAAAGCAAAGCCAGGTGGCAGAGATGGACGGGGCTGAAGGGCCATCTCAGAGCAACTAATTATCGGCAGTGCCTCAGAGCTCTGCTGTGTGTGGCAACCAGGTGAGGGCCTGGGCTGCAGGTCGTGACCAGGTGAGAACCTGGCTCTGTGGGCAGGTGGAGACCAGGTGAGTGTCTGTCGGTTTGGTGGTGAGGGCCTGAGATGCAGGTAGTGATCAGGTGAGGACGTGGTTCTGGGGGTGAGACCACGTGAGGGCCGGGCTTCAGGCCACACAGGGATGGGCCAGGACTTCCCAGGCACGCTTCTCTCTGGCTTCTCTCTTGCCATTTTGTCCTCAGAGGGGAAATAGGGTAGGAGGATGCTGTGGTTCTGTTTTCTGTCTTCCTAATAAGGGTCTTAAAAACTGAAAGGGATGTTGTTGGGGGGAGGCAAAGTTTTCATCACAAAACCTGGAATGGGAAGAGGGGGAAGGGGACTCTGCCCTCACCCTGAGGTGGCCTGGAGTGGGTGGGGGCAGAGCCAGAGCAGAGAGCTGGGGTGGAGGGAACTGGGTCGAGGGAGGCAGGCGGGCAAGTTAGGGGGGCCTGAGTGCCCCACCCCCATGTCCAGTGGTTTGTAAAGCCGCCTTCCCAACTGTGCCCAGGAACAGCCCTGCCAACAGGCTGGGACACACTGTCCATACACCTCCCTCCCCTGCACACAATGGGGCTACAGGCCCTCCAAGTGCAGGGTGATGCAGACTGAAAGTCCCAGTCCCTACATGGAGGACAGGGACCTCCTGTCCCCCAATTAGTGTTGCCCAGGGCTGCACTTCCCCTTCAAGCAAGGAGGCATTCCAGAATTCATCTGCTACTCTCCCTTTACTGTCCACATGGTCCAGCAAGTCCTTCCCTGCCTCAGTGCCTTTGCACGGCTGTGCTCTGCTGGAAATACGGTTCCCTCTTCTTTGCCTAGGCTCTTTCTCATCTCTTAGGTCTCACCTCAAATTGTCACTCCTCAGGGGCCTTCTGAGGCCACCCAATGCCTACTCTATGACACCTCCCTATTCAGTTTTCTTCATTTTATTTTATGATATAAAATAAATGATATGTTTTTTATGATATAAAAATGATATGTTTTTTATGATATAAAATAAATGATATGTTTTTTATGATATAAAAAACATATCATTTTATATTATGTTATTTGGCTCTGGGTTCATGTTCTCTCCCACTCGTAAAAGGACTGTCTGTGTCATTGATAACTGCATCACAAACAGACCCTGGACACTGTGTTGAGTGAATTAATGACCTCAGAGAAAGACAGATGGCCCCTCCTCACGCCCTTGTTCTTCCTTACCTCAGTCAGTCTCCTGTTGTGAAAGAAATTCACCATTATATCTAGCTTTCAACTCTCCAGCCCCTTCCTACTGGTTCCTGCCCCTGCCGGCCCCAACTGCTGCCTCTGTGCAAACCAGGCAGCCCGGGGCCTCGGATACAAGGGCTAGGCCACCCCTCACGGGGCATGTTCTGGGGTCGGGTCCTGGCCTTGGGACAGCTGCCTTACCTTTAAAACTTGGGCAACCTGATTGAGGCAGAGGGGAGCGTGATGCACCGCCTATGGAACTCCCCACGTTAGACTCAAAGCCCAGGGCTGCCTAAGCAGGGGCCAGGGGTCTGCAGAAAGCACGCAGAGCCTTTGGAGAGGCAGGGGGCAGGTGGACACAGCCTGGGCTGGGGTGCGGGGAGTGAGAGGCCTGGAAACACTCACCCGGCCTTCACGCACCCCCTCTTTGGGCGGCATCCGTCCTCCTCTCACACGCAGGTGGGCAAGACTTCTAGGGTCTGGGAGAACTCGCCCAGTTAAGACCCCACCCCAGTATCAGGAGTGGGGATGAGGAGGGCCCATGCATGGTTCCCCCTTCAGGAGGGGATGAAGACTCCCCATTCATGCCCCCCAATCAGGAATGGAAGCCCCATCTTTCACACCCCACTCCCGCCCCCACCTCGAGGATGACGGGGTGAGTGTGCCCCCTTGTCCCACGTGTCTGGTTTGGCTGGAGAGGTCCCCATTTTTCTGCTCATATGTTTCCATTTAAAGATTCTTCTGGAATGAGGTCGCGGCTGGGGATGCGCAAAGACCCCTCTAACCTGCACGCCCGAGAGCAGCCGGTATTTCCGGCCTCTACACCTCCCAGGTAGAGGGGGGCTGGCCCAGGAGGCTCTGGGAGGGGCGCGACGTCCCAGCTCCTTCCCCCAAGGGGCGGAGCTTATGGGGAGAAGGTGGGGCTCGGTAGAGCGGAGAGCTGCAGGGGCGGGGCCTCGCTGGCCGGAGGCGGAGCGATCGCGACGAGGCCGGCGGAGTGGGGCGGGGCCTGGTCGGGGCGGGGCCGGA